AATTTCTCGTGGCGTTCACTTTCGCGAAATTTTTTCAAATTAATCCGCCAAATACCAAACAACAGCGCTCCGTTGCGTCTACAGAATTTCTCGTGGCGTTCACTTTCGCGAAATTTTTTCAAATTAATCCGCCAAATACCAAACAACAGCGCTCCGGTTGCGTCTACAGAATTTCTCGTGGCGTTCACTTTCGCGAAATTTTTTCAAATTAATCCGCCAAATTCCAAACAACAGCGCTCCGGTTGCGTCTACAGAATTTCTCGTGGCGTTCACTTTCGCGAAATTTTTTCAAATTAATCCGCCAAATTCCAAACAACAGCGCTCCGGTTGCGTCTACAGAATTTCTCTGGCGTTCACTTTCGCGAAATTTTTTCAAATTAATCCGCCAAATTCCAAACAACAGCGCTCCGGTTGCGTCTACAGAATTTCTCGTGGCGTTCACTTTCGCGAAATTTTTTCAAATTAATCCGCCAAATTCCAAACAACAGCGCTCCGGTTGCGTCTACAGAATTTCTCGTGGCGTTCACTTTCGCGAAATTTTTTCAAATTAATCCGCCAAATTCCAAACAACAGCGCTCCGGTTGCGTCTACAGAATTTCTCGTGGCGTTCACTTTCGCGAAATTTTTTCAAATTAATCCGCCAAATTCCAAACAACAGCGCTCCGGTTGCGTCTACAGAATTTCTCGTGGCGTTCACTTTCGCGAAATTTTTTCAAATTAATCCGCCAAATTCCAAACAACAGCGCTCCGGTTGCGTCTACAGAATTTCTCGTGGCGTTCACTTTCGCAAAGTTTTTTCAAATTAATCCGCCAAATTCCAAACAACAGCGCTCCGGTTGCGGTTACAAGAAAACAACGCATACACTAACATCCTACCGGCCTACGGAATTGACCCTAAGGGCTACACCAACACATTTTGAAGTACTTAGACCCAATGCTTGCAGAAAGGCTATTTATTATTTAATTGTATTGTTATAGCTAGCCGAGAATATCGAAAGTACAGATTTTTCTATATATTAGCATATTTTCTACGATGCATGATGCACGCGTATGCCGTTCGACGAATAGGAACTCTTAGAATAAGCACTCGTACAACGCCTCGTTCATAACCTGGTTACCAAAACTAGTTCGCTAATAACAGCAAAAAGTATTTCTCTCAGAATGAACTTACCTTTGAATGAATTGTTAAAGTGAACCGATTTGGTTTTTGAATGAACGTTTTGATAATATCTAAAAAAGAACACGTCCACATAGGATGGCCATATCAGAAACGCATTGCGTATACTTCTCCCGATAGTACGCATCATAGTCTTAACCATCTATCACAAACAACGCCAAATACTGATCGATTCAAATCATCGATCAGACACTTGGCCAAGTCGATTTCCCTTTCTTCTATTGCTTTCAGAAATAGCTTTTCCCGAGAATCGGCAACTTTTTAACGCACCACTTGATAAAGTTAAAACGAGAGTTCCAGAAATAGTTGCCAATGAAGTAACAATTAATTTATGATGACGAAAGTGTTTAAGGCCTGTAATCAATACTGCTTTTCTTTTTTCTAAAAATCACTGTGTGGAAATGGCATGTAGGTAGGGCTGGACACGATATCCTGCGCATCTCATTCGGAGCAGCATGTACGCAAACAGGACCTTTCACAAAATAGCCCCTTTTGTTTTCGGGGTGATCCGCCTGCGTATGGTCGTTTCTATAATTTCCATAATTTATAGTCGTTTCTTTCTAAACTAGTACGATACAATGTCAAACAACAACAAAAACCAACAACGTCCGCCCTGCAAAACGAGTGCCGTAACATTGACTGTGCAGCAGACAGATCATGCAAGATAAACAATAACCTTTGACGTTTTGAAGTGGTTTCTTTGAAGAACAAGAGCAGCACTTATCTGACGGATTTAATAGGTATAAGTGGCCGCGTCAATACGTATACACTTACAGTTGTGCTTTCCTACAGGGCTCGATTCCTGATTTACGTGAAGTCTAATGTAAAAATAATAGCATTTATTACACTGACATGATTAATGCGTTAATATAAAATCACTCATATATTTCCCGAATAACAGGGAAGGTGCGATGAAAAAAACTAGCGCTAAAAAGCTAAACTGGGCTATGGGATGGCAATGTATAATTTTTTAATAGCAAACGTTAAATTCAAGGTTTTAAAGTACTTGTATTATAAAAGGGCTTAGTTACAAGAAGCAAACGAGAGACGTACCAGACGATGGATGACTTGATGGAGGCACATTTGCATATATGCGAATGTGCCTTCATCTATATATTACACGGTATATTTTCAGAACAGCAGCTTTTTCTTAAATTAAAATATTGAATTACGTTTAGCTATACATAATTTAAAAGTAAAATTAAAATCTGATATCATATATACTATTTCGATGCTAGCAGTTTTACTTTGGACATCAAAGGAGCCGATTTTTCGACCGCCACACAAACGCAGCTTTGCGGAGATTCCCATATCTACATATATGTCTTATAAGTCTCTCTCAGACCTTAAAATAAGCAGTACTATCATCTACTATTAATAATAATTAAATGATAATATTAAGCTGGCCGGAAAGTGGTTTTCGCCTTCATTGTTTATGTTTGTATCCATGAATCCTTTGATTTGTAACCTGGGACGCGTTTCTTTCGTTACCGTTCCGCGCTGACTTGACAATAATCTGGCGCGGATTTCTGTTTCACCACTGATAGAAGCACAGCTGAGACACCGGTCACTCTGCAGAAGATCGAAAGCTCATTCGCAGCGTTTAACAACGAGAGATGAAATTGGCTATGATGCTTTGAAGCACCTGTACATCTCTGTCTAACCCACAAGCTCTGGATGATCGGAAACCGAGTACGTTTAAGATGGAAAATCTACTGCTTGACGAATCGGCGCACTTAATTGACGAACTCTCCACAGACGCAGAGGCTAGTCGCGACATTATGATGTACCGCCTGTATCCAGTATATAATTCGCTAAGGCTATAAAATGGCTTCTACGTGAAGTCTCTACCTCTTATAGTTATTTGTTTCAAGTGTTGCTGTACTACTGGAAATCCCTTTCCTTGATATCTGCTCTGTTTGTTCGAATCATCTACCTTGAGTTCGAACTTCAAAATGGATGTACGATCGTCTAACAGTTAATTTCTGCCAAAGGTGAGTCGAGAGATCCTTGTCGAACTTGAAATGTAGAATTGAATACAAATTTTTTACATCGAAAATTCGATTTTTGGATTTAGTAAGCATTTCGGGATGTCACCTCAACTATAAAGCTTTTGTCGTTCATTTCATGCCTATCACGAGCTGTTTCGGCCGACCTATGACTTTGATGAAAGACGAGCAACAGTATCGAAAACGGTGCCCTTTCGTCGCTTAAAATTTCGGAGTGCGGAGCGTAAATAAAATGCTTTCCCACTCTGTATAGCATTTGGCCATCAGCAAACAGGAAAACAAGACAAATAAAAGAGAGAAGATCACTACTTATGTAACATCCGAACGTCATGTAATGTAAATTGAGCTTCTGCAAATGCTAGACTGTGCTCAACATGGTCCAACGTGGCTTCAACTTCGAACGTAGACCATCAGCGGCATATTGTAAGAACGGGTATACAGTCAGCTGTATGAAATATAAGCATTCCCGCACCTTGTTGCCATGCTCCAGGCATATAAGTCACTCTAATTCCTGAAGAGTAGTCTCTACAGATGGACGAGAAGGTCAGCGGCGAATGGCCCGAAGCGACACTGTGTGCCGGAACACTACTTGAACGTACAGCACAAAATAATAACAGCGGGAACGAACGAAAGATCTCGATACTTCGAGTAGAGTATTTAGAAACCCAGGGATACCTTGTCCCGACGTCTATATACATGTTTCGTACATTTTCACACATCTGTCTTTTTTTTTTTTTTTTTTTTTTATATGTATTTAACTACTTCTGTTGTAGAATTGAAGAAAGACCCTCTAGCCAAAATCAAATTATGTCAGATGTTATTTTTGAAGGCTTATTTCGCTGATTACCAGAACATTGAGCAACTGGTTAAGGTATTAATCAATACCGATTATAATCTGATTTCAAAGTGCTACAGTCAGTTCTACATATTTATCCCAAACTGACTATGAAACTTTTTCAACTTCCCGTAAATATTACTATAAGTAACTACAAAACTTTAGATAGCTTTTTATATTCGCATTCACACCTAGAACTCTAATTCAAGCACAGCTCTACATGAACCGTCCTGCAAACTGATAAAAGAGAATCAATTCGCTCAGTCAATCTGGGGTCGCCCTTCGGATTCCCGAACTCTTCTTCAACCATTCGTACCTATATCTAACGACACCCAAGTCTGACTCTTCTTAATTGCTCGAGGCGTCCTTTATTGTCTGTGAATCATTCAGGTTTTCTATTTATCAACGCAATGTTCGGTTCATCTAGGATTGTACGTTCTGTTAATTTTTTCATTCATAATGGCGTGGACGAGACAGCTACCATTGTAGTCGACCTATATCACTTTGAGATGACTGATCATTGCAAGTTAGGGTGAACGCGGTGCAATCCTCGAAAGTATTTCGATAACTTTATAGCCCATCAATATTGGTCAGTGTGTCGTAACAAATAACTGTGTGGGTAAATAATAGTTCAGGGTGAAGATTCTAGGAAATTTTATAAGGGAAGGTTTATAGGAAATAAACCTTATCTATCTTCACAAGCAAACACTGTGTGGCAGACACCGACTGGTCATATAGGTAACGGCCCAAAGCTACTTGAACTACGATTTCTCAGGCACGTTTATGTGCGTTTATGTGTGAAAAAGCGTCAACTATAATAGTAATAATAATAATAAGAGCGCGACACATTTTCAGTGTGTTATACGAATCTCAAATATTGCGTTCGCGTCTCTGGCCGTGCCTGAAATAACATTTAGTAGTTTCATATGCTGTACATTTGTTCTTAGGGGTATGAGTTACGGTTGTTGTGCTTACGTACAGTTATCGGACGATCTTGCCATAGCTCGCTAAGCTGCGCCTAATGCTTCCCTTTTCTCCGCTAGAAATGTTTTTCCTGTTATTTTAATTTGTGGCTTTTTTTTCGCGGGGCTATGAAGTTGTTCTGCTGCTACCCGTTTATGTAATCGCTACACTTAGATACTTCGTCAATTCAAAGTTGTCCACGACACGTAGAGCAAATATTCACAAGCTACACGTCTGACACTAACAGATTAAACACGGTTCAGGAATCGTGTTCGAATTGTCACAACAAATTCAGTCTAGACAATAGTGAAAGATGTTCAGTGTATACGGACGTCCTGACCTGCAGATAGAAGCGATAGGTGCTAGGTGGCAGCTGGTCCTGTTGCAAATCGGCGTTGATTATCGGTTAGGTGTCCTATGATTTCTCTTTCTTTTGTCCTTTTCGTTTTTTCTGTCATATGACATTAATACGCTCAGTGTTGTGTTGGATGTTTGTATATCGCTGCCACTACTAGTATCACATCACGTACTATAATTACACTTATTTTCAAACGAATACAACTTTCACAGCTTTTATTGATGCCGTATCCTATTGAAGTCACTTGTTTTTTTTTTGTGGGCACCAGTATTTGAAAGAATTATGTTGTTTTCGCCACCGATAACTTCGTGTCTTCGATTTATCTTCTTAACACTTATCAGCCGATCGGTGATTAGCGCGACGCGGCGCGAAACTTCAACGTGGAATTAGAACTTCGAGGGTAACTTGAGACGACGCCGAGGAGTTTAACGAACAATACATTCTTCGAAATGATCGACAATCTCATAATAATAAAAAAGTATTAGAGTCATACTTCGAAGGTCCAGTTCTAAGCAAAAGTCTCAAGTCTTAAAGTATCGAGTACTTTGTTTCCTAACTTCCATTGTTGGCTAGCCCGTTAGCTTTTGCCAACTCTGCCACTGCTTCTGCTTAGCACATGTTGTATAAACCTGTGCCTTGGAACGATTCAACAATTTGACGCTCTCTATTTGGCCAACGTGATTCGGTGCAAACATTGACGTGAGTGCCTTTTTGTGAAGCCTGTGCGGCTTTTGTTGAATGCCGGCACTCGCTGTACTTTGTTGTTCTATGTAATTTTCAGTGTCATTCTCTTTTGGTGACACAGAGACACAGGTGCACAGAAAGATATTCTAGTAGACAAAGTATATCATAAATCAACAATTATCCCACTTAAATTTAAAACGATTGATCGTTTCTTAATCAAGAGACCAGATAAAGGGGCTTTTCGCGCTATAGGAAGTTAATCGTTGTGGGTAAAGACGTTCTATAAAGCTTGCTTTAACGATTGGACTAGAATAGAAAATGTAGTTGGCCTAGTTGTAACTGCAGGGAGCTGTTCCTGTTGACGTTATTGTTGCAGTTTTGCGCAATTTAGTGTCAGATGCTTCCAGTTCTCGCGAAAATTTCTTCTTGCGTCGTCTTCCCAGTATGAACCTCGTTCTCTTGTTGTTTGCTATGGTGACAATTTTCGATGGCACATTGTACGCAAAAACAGCTCTGTTCTATTGCAGTAACGTCGATGGGTGATGTATTTACACCCGCAGTCGCTTACTGGAAGTAACCTGCTGCGAGGTTATACGGTTTGGGCCTGCAGCAATAGCAGCAGCATCTCACGGTACAAAGGCAACACAAGGCCCCGACACAGCAGCCTCTGAATGCCCTCTCCATTGGACACCACGGAAATGATGTGCGTATGTGAAGATACCTGTTGCTTCCGCGTGATAGTAAATTCGTTGACGGAAGAAAATCACAAGTGAAAAGTAATCACTATCGAAGTTATGTTCTGCCTGATGTATAGATAAAACTTCAATAGTCGGTAAACAATCGTTTTAACAAATGATATTGCTGAGTGGTTGTTCTCGCTCTATTTTTGATAAAATCAGCACGGTAAAATGGCGTAATTAGGAAATCATGTTTAATCTGTAGAAAGGTTGCTATAATATAGTTTCACTATTAACTGCTCTCTTCGAGATCGATGAAAGTTGTAATTCAGGTGCTTCAGGTATTGCCGGACGGCGGTCAGGCACTCACTACAGTAGACGGCTGGCAAGGTATCTTCCCGTAACGTCTAACGCACGGCTGACACAGACAGACACATCACCATTAAAATACAATGGAGACTATTCCTCTTTATGATTTATTTCTGCCTATAAAGGAAGAGGAAAGACAGCCTTTTTACAGACAGCTCCCCAACGAAAGGGTTGGACAGATTCGATCCTACGGACCACCAAGCTGTCTTCTACAGGAAGACTGCGTGCTCTCGCCGTATTGAAACCAAAAGGTATCAATCCACGTATAATAGAACAGCACACTTTACAATAGCCTTTTATGGCCAAAAAAATAGTTGGCATTGTTAATATTATAATATAATTATAATGTTATAATACGATTAGCATTAGCTAATGTTGGTATTATCCATGAAATATTCAAATTTCTTCCAATTGATTTTCATGTAGCCCAGTAGCGTTCTAGTAGATTCTTCGCCGCACTGGTTTAAACTTCCTTCTTCTACAATAAAACTGTCTGATTATTCGGTGTACGTGTAAATACACACCTACAGATATAAATGATTTTCTTTTCCACTAACGATCCTCGGTGGTGTTGAACAGCGGATTTCTCAACCACCTGTTGCAGATACGGCGCACTTCCCCGTCGCGGTTATCGGTACCCGCTCCAGACTCCCCTTTCCCATAAAACAGCGGAGAGAAGAATGGGCAGACTTGGTGGATAAATTCTCCCTCTTCCGTTTTGTGAATTGCCACCATCAACCGCCAGTCTGACCGTGCAAGCCCGAGCAAGCAGGCAATGCTCCTATTCTAGCGCCCTTATGGGTTACTCCAAAACAACAGGTGCGAGTCGGTCTGTGTCTCTTCGCCTCTCGGCTGTGTCCAGACGCAAGAACTGCATGGTGATATTATAACGACAACTACCTTCGAGCAGCCGGCCGCCTCCAGCTTCGCTTTCGACCTTTCCATCACTTATGTTCGCTCTTTCGCAGCCTCTTCCCCACAGTTTCCCTAAGATGCCCCCGCAGTTCTTCTAGCTGTCTATCCTCCCTTTCTCCCTTTACCTCTTTCTCGTTACCTGATCCTACAAACCATATAGATCCGTGCGATGCAGATTTATACATTTCTGCGTTTGCTTTCCGATAGGTCGAAATAGCCTCTCTATGAACGTAATAGCGACACATTGTTTTTTCTATTTGTCCCGACTCTAAAAGGTCGGCCCCCTTTGACGAAAGAAGTCTTGCTCAATGACCCATCCACCGCTATCTGAAGACCCGTAGGGCATACATGTAGGGACTCGCGGTTGGAAACGGTAACTTTCGACTGCCTTCTTCCTATATAACGTTCTTCTGTCTCTGAACTCACTTGAGTAGACAGCTTGAGACTCTATCATAAATTCTTACCGTTGACCATAGCAATTGAAAAGGCAGATACATTTAGTAGAATTAGACTATATGTGTACTTGTATAAGCCGATGAAGATTTAAACTAGCTAAAGGTTTACGAATGAAGTGCTAGATAAGCGTTGTTAGTAATTTCCAATGTTTTGATGGTGCTTTCCACACAAACTGCAGATAATTTGTTAACTGTAAGAAAAATTATGAATCTGCAACCGAATCTTCTTTTGTAATGTTTGTGACAGGCTTCACATTGTACCTTTGACGTGGACCTATTATGGGCGATGTAAAAAGCCATGCATCTTTATATGCGTTTTCGATCATCCGTACTGAACCTAACTTCAAAGGCTTTTGCATTTCAGAAAAATTTGTCTACAGCATTGTCTAATATTGGTCGCAATGACAACTAATAACATTTTATCAATAATCACACTATTATATAAAAAATATGAGTAATAAAATTAAGTAAATATGATGAGATATTACAAAACAACAACAGACCTTTAAGCACGATGTAAACTAAGCTATACCACATACAACTCACAGGATTTCGCTGATAGCGGTGACTGTATAAGTAACAAGTAAGCACTTAACAACAACCACCGACAATTTGTTGACGCCTAGTAACACAGTCACCGAGTGCCTGAAAATGATGACCTATCATAACACAAATGATAACGTGTCTGTATAGATGTAAAAATATGGTTAGGTTTAGGAATCAATGACACTTAGATCAATTAGCGGGTTGGCGAAATGCTTGGACTCCCGTCCAGATTACATCATGTTTATCACCGAGAGGTCCCAAAGATAAAGCAGATCATTTCCAATTATTCCACCCCACGACGTATCTCTACCGTGTAATTGAACAACAAGGATGACGTTTTTGTAATGAAAGGAGTACTAAATCGGCTGCCCTGAACTAAGTAAGCCTTCTATGCAAGGTCGGGAACACACAGGTACCTAATCGCCTACATGATCGCACCCCTTGCACAGTACGAGATAGGTGAATTAATATTACCATAACAAAACGTTACTTCCACTAAAAATGTTTTTTTTTTGTGATACAGAAAACGCAATTGGGTTGTCGTGTTTCTGGTGACCGAGCGAATTATTGAAACCGAATTGAAAGTTATTTAAAACTCTCATATGTAAAATTACGTATTCATGGACACGTCAGCATGCATAGTACGTATAGAAAACCTTTACAGATATGCCACAGCCTCTACATAGAACTGATCTTTAAAACGACCAGTTCAGATTCGGATTACATATGTGGAAAACATTCATCCATCAACAACTAGATAGAGCTGTCTTTACTTCTTTTCGTCCCATAGGCTACGTATCTCACATTCGACCTACTTAAGTTTACCTTAAGACGGGTGATCAGGCCGCTTTTAAAAACAACAACTAGCCGAAACAGCGTTATTCATTCTAAAAATATAATCCGATTTAACTAACTATATATAAGCATGTTTATATACACTTTAATATCATTAGGAAGAAAGAACGCTACCAATTGTGTTATGCGAAAGTAACTACGCCAACGTAAACGGGTGTCGTAGGCGTAAAGCTCATTTATTGCGCATTTACCTATACTCATCTTGGCTGTTACCGTCAACATTGATATTATAAAGCTTAGTAATGTAAAGTCCGCAGAACTCTGATTACTGAGTGGAAAGCGTTTTTTTTGGAGATAGGCTCAACCAAAGCCTGGCCTATTTGGTTCAGAGTGGAACACTGCTGTGGGTAAACGCATAGGTGGGGCTAGTAGCTAGATGTACGCAGCACATGGCTATAAGCCGCGTCATTTCTCCGTTGGCGAAAGGGGCCGTTTGCATTATTCTGCCTCCGGAGGAGACCGGGCAAGCCTTTTCAGGCTATACAAGATGATTTACTCCAAACATATGGGTGTAGAATAAATATGCATTGGCGCTCTCCATCCGCCGACTATCGCCACGTGATAATTAAAACAATTTAGAGAAGGGAAGAAAAGAAGACTGCAGCCTATGAGCTTCCCCTAGAACAGTTCGCAGCAGAAATAAAATACAAAGCGCGACACGAATGCTGGTGAAGTCAGGTAAATGCGTGTAGGTTCCTGTTTGAAGCGAACGACGCATTGTGCAAGTGACATTTAGTACTCGTCTCCGTCATCCCCCTGATCGTTGGAATCCATGCCGACCTCTTCATAGTCCTTCTCTAAAGCGGCCATATCCTCGCGAGCCTCCGAGAACTCACCTTCCTCCATACCTTCGCCGACATACCTGTGTAAAGGCGAAATAGTTAGCACATACGAGCGCTGAGTATTCGAGCAGTTTGCGTATATACAGTACATATAAATAGATGGATTTATTGAGGCGATCATTATAAGAGGTATTGCATTGGATGAAAACTGCCGATGGCTACGCAGATTTTATACGCCGTACATCCGTAAGGGAAATTGTTTCGTGGTCACAGCTGCATGACCTGTATTACTCCAGTAAAGCTACATCGACCATTGATATTAGTTTTAGTGATTTAGCCTTGAGAATGGCTAATTAGCCAGGAGTTCTTAAAAGATTACCGTAAAAATCTCTAGAGGATGGGATTATAAATCTGCTTGGCGTTCCGATATATCTAGGAGCTCGAACTTCGGAAATGTCAACAGGGGGCGCACACAGCGGACTTACGGCGACGATGTTAATAAAGGGGGTTGTGTTATTAGAACATCATACGGACAAACTACTCAAGGAGTATTTAGTTGTAAAAAATGAACGTATGTGCTGACTGTTTGCTAAGTACGGTCGTCTGCAAACAATGCACTACATAGCCATACGTCACATACGCTCGAATTTCAAGCACACGCTTAGTCGTCCCCACGGTCAAATAAATCATTAGACGAATTCCTCTTTACAATACGTTCTTACTCAGACGAATCGAACATTGTCGAAGCTACCTTATTTATGTGTATATGTTTTTGGTGTCTGTGTTTTCCGACGTTAAAGTAGGCCGTAATAGCTTGACAGTGCTGCTATCTCGCAAGTTCTACGGCTACCTAAGCAGGGTTCAAAGATGGGATCCGGCGTGACGGCCGTTAATACCGCCACAGTCATGCAGCAATCTCTATAGGAACTTGCACTAACGCTATTCTACTAAAGTAGCTGAGATTGTGGGCTAAGTAACTGGCTACATTTGCACGAATCGAAGAAGGTATGAGAAAAGCAACGAAATGAGGATAATAAGTAACAGATCATTCATCAGGCGGAAATAGGCTTGGCTTTCCGGTGGCTTCACGTGATTAATTCAGTGTCAATAGAGTTATACTGTAAGAGGTGAACAAGGGATTTTTCTCACGGCGGCCAAACTTCTTCCATGTAGCTTGCTGGCCTTAGATGCCTCCTTTGTGGGCATAGTCACGTAGCCCGGCGATTTCCGCCTCCTGGACCGCTAGGAAAGCGGATAGACGTCTAAAAGGCCAGTGAAAGCCAGCTGGCAGATTGCCTGTACGATAAGTCCAGATGTATTGTATACACCTTGGTACTCAGACACGTCTTATTAGGTGCCATGTCTCTGTGTATAAGTGCGGATGTGTATCTATATAGACGTATTGTTTTTCGGAATAGAGCGAATCCAAGGACACGGCAAATATCTCTAAATAAAGCAAATAGGGAGAACATCGTTAAACCCTATTTGAACATTTTGATTATAATAAGGGTTATAAAAACGGGAGGCATACCAGTGGACGAAGGCGCGCTTGGCGTACATTAAGTCGAACTTATGGTCGAGACGAGCCCAGGCCTCTGCAATCGCGGTGGTGTTGGAGAGCATACAAACTGCTCGAGGCACTTTGGCAAGGTCGCCACCAGGAACAACTGTTGGGGGTTGGTAATTAATGCCAACCTGATTTTGCAGAACACGAAAGAATATCAAATAAGGATAAGACAAAGCTCCTAACACCAAAAAGGCCATGTAATATTCGGCCAATGTATGAAAATTAGCCAATAAAAGTACTACTTGATTTTTTTTATATCTCCTAATTATCGATTCGCATACAGATATATAGTAATTATTTTTTGCATAAATAGAATATTAAGCGGATTAAGTTATTACCAATAACAACCTAACTATTAAGTTACCTAAGTTAATTATTGTTCGCCAACATTACTATTCTATATCGTGTAGTAAGAGTAATTAGTAATAATTAATAAAATGGGTCCCGATAATAGCCATAGTTTATGAAAATCTTATACCGTATATTCTGAACGTAACGCATAATCGAGTGTCGTTATTTTAGTCATAAGTTTCGATGATTTTTTCATGCATTCACACAGATGCTGTGCATGGACGTATTTCAGTGACGTTTAAAAAACGTACCAGTAACGCCTATGCACCCCCTACCCACAACAGATGCATATATCTTACATGAATTACAGCGCTCTTCTAAAAAAAGATATTGAGATGTAATGACAATAAAAAAAAAAATTTGGATGACTTAGAATCGGGACGTACCGTAAATTTAATACACCAATACGCTGCGTTATCACGAGTATTGGTGGAAACATATGGAATGGTTGAGTAAGTAGATTCTAAATACTCAACTACGCTCGCTTATATCTCGACTCAGTGTCTTCGACATATGGTCATTTACCTACCTTAGATTCATTCGAACATCCCTGTAGGACGCAAGCATGACAAGGACAAACATGATTAACCAGGACACGAGCAAGTGCAGTAGTTACCGATTTTTATCGGGGGCTTGCTGCTAGCAAACAGACAGAAATATACTGTTTCTTCGACCGACTGAACGAGCTAGGGATCCTGTAGACAAAGTGCGGCAAGAGCCAACAACAAGCTCTTATATATACGAGGCTGTAGTCGTTTTAGTCGCGCCTAAAAGGGGCATAGACAAAATAATCCAGGAACTCTGCCCACGGATTATTATCCATCTCTGTGCGGAGCCCCGAGAACACAACATGTGGGCTGAACGAATCGATATGGAGGTAGCAACCCGGATAAAAACGGAAAAGCAAGGCAAGATGTTTCCTCGATCCGCTGGTGACCGCAAGGACGGTGCCAAAAAAGTCCTAGAAATATAAACTTAACAGGCATGCACGATAGCTATAGAGATATGTGCACGGCGCTTTTCTGTACGCGGATGAGGTGCTGCGGGCGCCTACGGCCAGCTGATAAAGACGATACTGTAAAACGGCAGGCCATGTATACCGTGGAGTCAGAGAAATTCTTGATTTTTGTGAGACAATTAAGCATGTAGCTTGATTGCGCAACGTGAGGTAGGTTTACACCTTGACGGTACGTTGGCTCACTTGGAAGACTTGTTGCTACATTAGTTCTACTAATGACAGGTAAGGGTGTTGAAAGGTCTGTTCTGTGTTAACAGCAGAGGAAATGAACGTAGAGAATAGCAGAAATAACATTGTTACATGTGTAACATGTTTGTTTCTCATCTTGATTTTCGAGGAATTTTTGAGCAATAAATTTCTTCAGTAAAACGTGACTCAATGGTAGTGCCATACTCTAACAATAATCAAACTCATCAAAAAGTTCTGCCTATAAATCGTGTCAAGAATTGTTGTCTACATCGTTTCTAATCACACGTAAATAGGTTTGTTGGTGAATAAACGGGGCATGGATGGGGTGATATTGTTACATACACAACAGGTCTGTTTCTCACCTTGAATCCTGTAGGGCACCAATCGACAAACTGGATGGTGCGCTTCGTCTTAATAGCAGCAATGGCAGCGTTCACATCCTTCGGCACAACGTCCCCGCGGTAGAGCATGCAGCAGGCCATATACTTGCCATGGCGTGGATCGCACTTCACCATCTGGTTAGCAGGCTCGAAGCAGGCGTTAGTGATCTCGGCAACCGTATGTTGCTCATGATGAGCCTTCTCTGACGACACCACCGGTGCGTAAGTCACTAGCGGGAAATGGATCCTATTGGCGAAGCAATCAAGTCATACCAAACAAAAGGTCAATGAAAAGCATCAAGGTCATCTCGCAAACCGGACACACCAAACAGATGCACATAGCGACGATAATTGTGTTGTCAAAAACTCGTCCTTAAGCGAGCGTTGTTTTACGTTTTAGAATTACATTATTAAACTAACTTCGATCGGTGATCTTCAGTCATTCCTCTAGTAACACTATGATCCCATCATAGTAGGACATAGTAGTAGTGCGGTTTCAGTAAAAAATTCTGTAGTCCCATTGATGCTGAAGGAACACCACTAAAGAAGTTCTGCAGAGGCCGAAACAAATGATAGTTTGATCATGCAAGATCCAGCAAATGCATGTCGATTTCTTATCCAAAGTCTCTGAATTTTTGGTGGCTAAATAAAGATGTGTGTCGTGGCATTATCACGCCGAAAGACACGGCCTCCCCTTTTCAATAATTTTTCTCGATTTTTTTCAGTGCTTTGTTGTAATCTTAGAACCTGGTAACTATTGGCCGTAGAAATCCGAGTTAATTTTTTCGCCGAAGGGCTGCAACTCATAACGAGCGGCGATTCCTTTCTAGTGCTACCATGCCCGTACTATCACCTTCTTTGGCCTCAATCTGTTGTCTGTGGTCTACTTTTCGTCATCAGGCATCGACCACTTTCAAAATCGCTCGACTTCGTCGTATCTCTGCAGTTTTTTTGTTAGACGGAATTACAATGCGAACTTTTTTCCAAGCAACTTAAAATTGTTTAAAGGTCGATGATGATTTACTTGGCGACACAATAGATCCACGTGCCGGTATTGCTCAGTTTCTGCAACGATTTTGTTAACTGCTTCCATAAATGGTACTAGGAGTATAAATCAAAGTTCCCAGAACAAAAGTGAAAGACTCATATTTAGCCCTCTTCTCCGATAACGCAACTCTAGCTCAAGCAATTGGCTTAGTTTGCAGAAGTCATTTAATAAATAAATAAAACATTTGATAAATACATAAGAATCTTGTAATATATGGAGGAATATTTTCCGTAAACTTAATCATCTCTAAACGGTTTCGTTTTAAATCTGAATAAAATATTTTCAAGCGATATTAATGCCAACCCGAAGCAACTCGTATTATCTAATACGAAACACTTAGTAGGCCATGACATATGTTGTCGAAAGAGTATGTAATGCTAGTTGGCCTGCAACGAGAGTACCTGTGTATCTGTATGCGGCAATGTAATCCAAGTGTAAGCTTGTTAAGCTCAACGCAGCTGTTGTAAAATTCGAAGTATTAAATTTGGCATCATAGGTAACATGTGAGGTACAAGACACCGATTCGATTGATGGACATTGATGGTAAAGGTACAACTGCTTAGAAACAGAGAGCCCTCTAGTTAGACCTACGTAAACATACTGAGCCGTAGGTTGACGTCTTTTACTCAGTGTTATTCGATGGCCGGTGACATGGTCAGTTTGTAGGAAACAAACCTCTTGAACACAGTCGAAATGCGCTTGAATCTCTTCGGCAGAGGGAACGCGTCACTTGGGAGCGTATTCAGTTTACCACTTTGATAAACACATCGACTCGTTTAAGCCAGAGGGTATTATGAAAACCATAGGGAATTAAATCGGGGATATCAGGTGAAAGTTGGAGTAAAGGATACGTAGGGCATTCTCGGCGCAGACAGTGGTCACGAGTGAATTTACTGATCTGTAGGAGCAAGATTTTGTTTCTAGCATAATTTCTATCGACTCCAGTAGGACGGCGAGCTGGTGAGACCATGCACGAGTCGAGCGCTGCCTTTTTTATGATGTGTAGTCCTAAAAACCTATGCTTAAAAAATTTAGAAGAAGTCAGTTGTCATGAATGTCGATATAGGATATCTGTCGTCCAAACATTTGCCCGCGAGACAGACATATGTTCGAAGGGGAAACAGGTAGGCGTTAGTATTTGTCTGCTGTTCTTAAGTAATAAATGAAACGCTCTGCAAGCCGCTATAAATTGGAAAGGACTAACGGCTGGAGTAGCGGCAGTAAGTGGCGTAGTTGTCCACATAGAAGAAACAGGCTGAAAGTATCGTCCTACTTTTCTTAATTTAACAGTATTTCTACAGAAGGTTGGGTGATTTCGCCCTATATGTTTTCCGAAGGAATCATCACGTGTATTTTTGTTAGGGTTGTAGGCCTACCTCTAGTCTTTTGGTCTCTATGGACGCTTCCATCCGTACCATCGCTTTGCTCGTTGGCACATAATTCACGTACAGGTTCATCATTCCTTGATTGGTCCGGGCTTACCTAACCAACACCTACGATTTAGCCCTCAGAATGCTGCACAATAAAAAGGGTCACCAAGAGACACCTCGTAATGGGTGAACCGAGCTGCCGTTTTTTGTCAGGCAATAGCTCTTGGAGATAAACAACGCAGATGGAAGGGAACCCACTTGCTGCTAAGGGTAAATATTTACTCCGTACATAGGAAATGGTGAAGCAAATGCCTAGCCAACACCAACCTTCATCAGGTCTTGAGTTGGCAAACCGTACGCCTACATTATAAGATTTAGCGGTCTATGACGAGCTAACTCGGCGGAGTTCCCTCCGCGTGACTGACCACATTAAGGCGAGTTAGCATTCGGGCAAACCCGCATATACAAGTATATGAAGTGGCTACCAATTCTTATGCCAAAAACTAGCGTCATACACACAAAAAGAACAACGACAGCACATGTGCCTTCCTTGATGATACTGCGTGAGTGCGATTCAACTAGCTCATTCAGCTTGTTATAAAGAAACACGGGATGGGTACGCATCGAGACTACCAGATATAATATGTACTGGCACAATAAAGACTTGAGAAACACAGATTTGATGGTTAAGGCAGATTCATGTAGATACTTGTTTCAGGTTCTTCATGCATTTGCATTTGTGGGGCAACAACAACAAGTGGGTATGTGGCCAACTGAAATCAGATAAACCAGTCGGACAGAAAATCGCCAATATTATCTAACTAAAAGCTACTATTTTAGCAGTTCTTTGCCAGTCCTCAGTCCGTAAAATAAATTTTTTTTTCTACGAGGAATATACTAATGAGTTGCTTAGAACTAAATGAAAGAAATTTCAACTAAGTTCATAATACCTCAGAAATAAACCTCAATTCTAAGTTGGATCTCCATCGCTCGTTAACGTTAATAGATCAATCTTTTTTTTAGTGACATGTTATAAGGGCTCCAAAAAAAAATACAATATAGTTGCGAATGCATTTTCATGCTGTAGTCACCGTCTATATACACGGAATACCTAACTACGCGTACCTGGGGTAGGGAACCAAGTTCGTTTGGAACTCTGTTAGATCAACGTTTAGAGCGCCGTCAAAGCGAAGTGAGGCCGTGATCGAAGAGACGATCTGAGAGATCAGACGGTTCAGGTTGGAATAAGTTGGCCGTTCAATGTCGAGATTACGTCGACAGATATCGTAGATGGCCTCGTTATCCACCATAAAAGCGCAGTCCGAGTGCTCCAAAGTTGTGTGGGTAGTAAGAATTGAGTTGTATGGTTCCACGACAGCAGTTGCCACCTGCGAGGAAGGTCACCGAAATAAAAACAAATATGCTTCTTTTCAACGCATTTGTGGTCTAGAATAGATACGCGATACTCCGACAGCAGCAACTCTTACTTAGTTTTATATTAGCTAATAAAATAAATGCCGAAGTAACATGACGCGTACTCATGAACGCAAAAATCACCCTTGTGATATTACTTGTGTGAAAGGAAAAAGGCTATAAAGCGGATCGACGATATTAGACCTTGTCGTTCCCGTTACAGGTGCACCTAATAAACGATGACCTTTAATCATAAACGTTCTTCAATTGATTAGTTCTAGAATCATTGGGTATTCCTGAGAACAGCATGGGTTCCATGGGCAGAGGTCAGCGCCCGTCAAAGTAGACGTACTCGACTCCATGCATACAGAATAACCAGTTTGACCGTGATTTCATCGCGGACAGCTCGTGTGCTAGTTGTTCATCTAGGTATCTATAAAGCTCTTTTTGAACGCGACAGAAGATGGCGCACCCTACATATGTTACTTCTGTCTTGAAGGTTCGTTTAACAGATTCCGATTGTACTCTAAGTAATACTATTAAGAGTTGACGCACTACTAATGATATTGCCGGATTCCTGAGTGGAACCCAAAAACTCTTCCATAAATCATGGGATTCCTTTCAGCGGGAGCTAGAATGCCATCAAACCATAAAAAAACACCGCGAAACTTTTATATGGTGTGAGTTAAGTTCTACCTTCAAGAGGCAATCCAATGTTTTCAACCTTGCGAAATATATGAAACATTTCGTACCGAGAAGTTATCGAGGTGCCTACTGCGAACAAGCAAACCACACGTACGCGGAAGTGCGTTCAGCCCGATAGAAACCTCTAAATTGTTGTGAAATCCGTTTAGGTATTGCCTTTTCAAACAGGTCCAGCATTTTGTTTAACGATGGTTCGTGTCATATATGTTCAACGTTGTTGCCTATTCGTTCAGCGAAGTAAAGATTTGTTTTATTTCCCAGGTGTTTTTGCTAACTGAGAGCCTATCTAGGCCAAACGCTTCTACCAAGCAACTCAATACAGAAACCTGTATCGCAAGACTTCTTACACTACGAGAAATTTAAATGCCCCTTTGGCGCATTAAGAAACGTAGTGTTCGCCAATTTATTCATAGACATTGAAAATATTCGGTAGCGTAGAAAATTAGACTAGGCGCCTCTACCACTTATAGTTTTCCATAATTATATAGTCAATAATTATGTTTAGCGTTATGTGGTATGAGCTTCAACGTTTATGTTCTTTTTGCTTATGGGCGCTTACAGAATTCAATGTATATTATCATCTGTGTACTTAATATGCACGCTAACGTATACAGCGAGCACTATCAGACATCTTAGCATCGTTTAGCAGGAAAAATCCAAAATGACTGAAGACCGTTCGCTGATAGAAACAATAGCAGTAGCACGCATAGACCATGTAATGGACACACCTGTGGCGCTGGGTAGATAGAGAACTCGAGCTTGGATTTCTTTCCGTAGTCTACCGAGAGGCGTTCCATGAGCAGAGATGTGAATCCGGATCCGGTTCCACCGCCAAACGAGTGGAATATGAGGAAACCTTGAAGACCAGTGCATTGGTCGGCCAGTTTGCGGATTCGATCGAGGACGAGGTCGACAATTTCCTTGCCAATCGTATAGTGGCCACGAGCATAGTTATTAGCGGCGTCTTCCTTGCCAGAGATCAGTTGCTCAGGGTGATATAATTGACGGTAATGACCAGTACGAACCTCATCTACAATTGAAGAAGCACGTATCGACGTATTAACAAAACGAAGAAAAAGCAACTGAAACTTCACAGGTTTGGTATAAGTACAACTGAAAATAGAACTTACATATGGACCATATTATGTAACGCAGCAGGAATTAGGATAGCAGTGAAACAATTACTATACAGCTGGTAACATATGAGGTGCTATAACAGTTACCGATGACTATTGCATATATAAGACGTTTTTAATGTTTTAGTGGAAATACCGCGTTAATGTTACTTGTGTTTGCGCTTAACAAGCCAACAAAGGCTTAGTAATAAGGCTTAACGGTACACTGAGCTAGGTTTTTAACACGGCTTACCTAGGATAAATACTGCATTTCGTTATATATATATATATGAGACGTATAAATAAGGATAGGGGTTATTGCCGCGTTTGGTTAAAAGCAAATAATTGCTTGGCCAGTAACAGAGGTGAACAGGTAATTGGTAAGGTATCACCAAACATACAACACAGCGCAATGATCATAATAAAATTACTACATCAAAGATTAAATGAAAACGTTTCCCCTCAAAGTAGTTGATGTTAACAGGTAGAAGAGAAATGAGGTAACAACCAGCGCCAACAAGGCTCCACTAATAGACTCATTACTAGACAACAAATTAGGTGTATAGGCCTTACAAATGTTTCCGTTTGCTTAACAGGTATGTTCCGATTTTTTATATGGATATTAGTAAGGTAGCACAGTATTCTAATAAATTCTCTAATAAATGTATCAATTAATCAAGAACATGTTCAGTGATGAGTAACTAGTTAAATTAGGTATAGCTAAATAAAAAAACACTCTTCGGTAGTGTCGCTCTCTAGGGTTATTCCAGTAATAATTCAGACGTACGAGAGCGTTGCGCTCTGAATACGCCAGAGCAATACATACGATTTTGAACATGTTTATAGAATCGTTCGTATCTCACCTTCGACACGTACTCTTATCTTTATTTTCGAATCATTTTATCATTCATAAACAGACGCGCCTGTACATTCATATGTGAAAAAGGAACGAGTACTAATTTCTATATATACATCCGTCTACTGACCCACTTCATCAGGTAGCATGCTTACTGAATCCTATTGTGATCCAACTTAACGCCCCTTCATGTGTCTGAGCACAGATTGGTAGCGTTTCAGAGAAGACAAAAGGAAAAATTATTGCTGGTTTGGGAATCAAATTTTAGCAGTAGAAAGTAAACATGCCGTGACACTCCAATACATGACTATCTACGTGTACAGGAGCACATATAAGAATTTTTATATATATATATATATATATATATAGGGTGGTGAGTTCGATTTGGAAAAATTCTGGTGGGCCTCTTGTCTTTGATCCGTAAATCTTGCCATCAGGCGAAAGCCATTTTTTTTTTTTAGAACAAAATAACAAATTGCTCCTGAACGAATAACAGTATTCGTTTCCGGAATTCGAGCGAAGATAAGATAGCGTCTAATACTTCCGGCTAGGTCGAACTATTACTAAGATTAGAGACTTTCTTGTCCGAAATTGCTAGTTTTCATGCGGCCTATATATCCCGGCCTAATATAAATGCGGCCTAAATATCCCGAGATGATTTTTATGAGGTTAACCTAACCCGATAGAGCCTAAATTTGAAGGACTTGAACATTTATGAAAATTGCTGAAAAAAACATTCTTGGCACACTTAGGTTTATTATATCGAAACTAACGATCGTTTCAGACAGAGGAATATCAATTATCAATTGGGTTGCTAGAAATCTAATGCTAGCTGCTTAGTCTTGTTGAGGCACGTTTTGGACTTATGACCCACTCTTTTTCCCACCCAAAGTTTCTGCCTGTAGTGTATTTGAATGACACCTTTGCAAGTTTATATCTCCTAGTATTGCTTCACCTACAGTAAATATTAGAAAGGTATTTCTGGATGATACGAATAATATTTTCCCAATCAAAACTATAATGGTGGTAAATGGTGGCGAAACTTTTATGACCGGGATCGATATTAGGCATTCTATTACATTCAAACAATCGGCCTATTACGCCAGGTGAATCAGCCTGAAAGACATACAAACAAAATTATTGTCAAATTCAGTCTTAGAAACAACTCATAAGTAAACATCTACATTTAGATGCTCCGCGCTGCACTCCTATATATATATATATAAATTGGAAAAATGTAGACGCTTCACGTACGCCTGATAGAAAAGCGGACTATGCGTCTTAACTTAACTGCGAGCTGTTGGAACAGAAAGCCTGGCATGACACGCTTCATTGGGAAGAGGAGAGGCATCTGCCTTTAACTCTTGTTAACGTTGAGGAAAATTTCACGACGATTATAAACGATATCCTTCTCTGATTGTGTCGGCAGCATTTAACTCCGCTGGTTAACTAACTACAAAAATCCCCTACACAGGTGCGTATAGAAAAAAAAAAGGCTTGCAAAGGGTCCTCACTGTGAATCCAATATATATATGTTTTGAGCTATAGGTCTTGCGGCCACTGTCAACAAAAGTGCGCTGCCAAGGGACGGGCCCCCATTCGAAAGGCTACCAGCATATCGACATATAGAAACATAAAATCAGTAATAGTCGTATATGATTACATATGTTCTAGCAGAGGCAATTCAGCCTAGTGAAACTAAATTATTACGACACTGATATTCCAAAAGGAAAATCATCGTTGCACAAGCTTACCATTTTATGCAGAAAATTTACCTATAGAGAAACAAATTAGAGCTGACAGCCCACGTAAACTTATTATAGTAATGACGCCATCCTCGCCATGTATCCTAAGAACGTGGAGTCGTCAACACGTACACATGTTTGCAAGTCAAGAGCTTGACGGAAATTATCCTCATAGCTGATATTATGTATAGTACAAGCTAAAAATATAATTTAAGGTACATTCTAGCAAAACGCATTAGTAGGCACGTTACAACAGAGAGTGATAGAAATTTTAGATATAAATATGGTGAGCAAGAATTGGAAAAAAATTTCATCTTTAAACAATAAATAATAGAACAAACGTAAGATATTAGATACAATAGTGTAATAGCATAGTGCGAGACGCAAACTCAAATGCAGCTCATGGGGATAACCTAGAGAAGTACGAAAGCGAAAACGGTTAAGCCTACCGACTACGGTCGGCTCGAGATCGACAAAGACAGCCCGTGGCACGTGATGACCAGCGCCAGTCTCCGAAAAGAAGGTCGAAAATGAGTCATCTACACCTCCAGACACCTGGAAAATGACAGTGGACGCATAGCTGTGGTCAATGCCCATACATATTCTTTACTTAAGACTCCTGTACGTATTTAGGTCTAGGTATAACCCAGCAGCGAATCAATTGTTGCGGAAACGAAGAATAGAATTAGATGTAAAAGAGTCATTCGGTCACAACTCGTTAGCGAATTTGCTAGTAAATTAAATAATAAGCAATCTCATTTTTGCTTTCCCGACATAACTTCCCTCAACACATACTTTTTCCGAGGGCATCTGCCCATCGGCTTGGATACCATGTTCGAGACAATAGAGCTCCCAGCAGGCGTTTCCAATTTGTACGCCAGCTTGACCAATGTGGACTGATATACACTCGCGCTGAAAAAGAACGAAGACAAAACATAGAGTCACTGCATGCAAGTATAGTAGCTACGACCTAAAAGACAAAAGCCTTATGAAAAGCTTGCTTTCATACTAATCAGCACTCAGGTACGATCAGTCAGCCAGAATAGTATTAAATTGACGTTCCAAGAGAAGATGCTGACGTACCGACCATTCAGAACTCGACCAGTCTGAACGTTCGGATTAGCATATACATTGCATACATGCAGAAAGAATATCTAAAGGGCTTTGATTTGGCTTATTAATCGATATTGATTTCTCTTGGACCTAGACCTTTCAGTTTACTTATACAAAGGCTCAATTTTGCCCCTCCTATTATATTCAGAACGCCTTAATTACCTAGGGTAGAAGTAGTTTGAACCTAATTATTTTTTGGCTATGCGCGAATTCATACTTGGCCTACCAAACTGGTTGGCGATAAGCCATTAACGTAATGCAGTCAATAAATATTCACTATACCGAATACCTGTTTATTTAATTTACTTATTTATTTAATATCTATTTCACTTCATGAAAATAACGGTACAAACTGAAATAACGATTGGAAAGTTCATCGTCGAAGGAACAAACACGGGTTATCAAACAAATATTATCTGTGGCTCCTTTTTTTCGGACATACTTTTGCTTTTCAGAAATCTGTTTATCATAGGCAGTGTACTCGTTTGGCTACAAATGCATTTTTGCAAACACTCCTGACCACCCACCGGTACGAGCCTTTAGCGACGCGTCGGGCCTTCGTTGGCCTATTGATTCGTCCACAGAGGATAATACGTGATCGACAACATACGGTTCGCGGGCTTCGGGTGCTGTCACTACCGAATTCGTTTCGCTGAGAAAAATCCAGCCCTAAAGTGTGACGTATACGATCACGTTCTGTCGCGTTTTTCGTAGAGTTTTCCCGCTGACGACTAATACCGTAACAGATTTCGCAGCACGATATCAATACATACATATATGTACATGTATGTATAATAGAAGCGCGTATCCCATCAAAACAGTTCTGGCCTTCGCGGCATTTTATCTTGCTAATGCATATAAACAAACACTATATTCGCTGGTGAAATCATTGAAAAGACCTCATCATTCATCTTCACGTAAAAATTCACACCGAATAATTTTCACGTCACTGTTACAAAGATTTCTATATTTAATCACTATTGGCTCATTGACAGACAGCACAGGATATATTCTGGTTTAGAAAGCAATCTTCTTATAGCAGTGCCGCTGTTAGTCTTGTAGCTGATGCAACGAGGTCATGCCTCGAGCGCTTGCTGTTCATTATTCTTTGTGTTTCACGTAATACCTCGTATTCTATGCTATGTCATTCATCATAGTACTTACGGGAGTTGGCGAGTAAAAACTTCTGTCATGTCCAGATGCTGAATGTTATCGAAATAACACTCGTTTCAACACATACATACATGACTGTGCATAGGATCGCAGTTGCTGAAGTACCCGGTTGAGTTCGTCGACAAGCGATAATAGGCCATCTACTTGGAGTCTAAGCCGACCTTCAGGCTCGTTCAAACGATTGCTCCCAATCGCTTGTAAACCGTCAACATATATACACATGTATATATATATATATATATATATATTCAATGTAGAACAGTGACGTCAACAATACGTTACCCTAAAAGTCTATTGCTGGCGCCATCTGCCTATTTCCTTTTTACTTCCACAACGTGACACTATTAAAGACCCCATTCGACTTCATAACGCGGGTTCGACTCATCTCACCAGGGCGATACATAGTCCCTAAAACAAAAACTATGACGTGATCAACGGAAAGTGGTCGCTTGTAAGTATGCTGGATACAGACCTCTTAGACGTGAGATGTTCCATTCAGTGGTGCGAAATTCAGTGAAGCCTGTGTGGTAATCATGCTAGCCAAGTCTATCGTTCCAACCGGATCTAGGGACGCTATGAATGCGCAAAGCTCCGTTTCTAAGGGTCTTGTCGAACCTCTTAAACAGTATGACCGTAATAAACGTCATCGACCCCAGAAATTCGTAGAAGCTCTATACACTTCGATGGCTCTGCGTTAAGACGATCACTAGAAAGACCTAACTTCATGAAGATATCACGAATAACCGTATCGTAATAGATGTGTGGTTGTCGTCGTAAACTGGACCAGGACAATACTGCCAAAATTGAATGATATGGTCATGCAGGCTTTTTTTTTTCTCACATGTAACGATGGAGAGAAAGAATCCCATATCATTCTCTCCTCTTCTCGAAAAGCACTGCAATATTTATGTGGTTTAGGACAACATCGAGTGAGCTAATTGAGTTCTGCTTATAGCGTAAGTTTCGTCGTATATATTACTACGCGCTTTTGTACTGCTTATCTGAACATCATTGAGACTAGAGGTTATATGTTTCGTTAGCTTCATAACTATGCTCTGGATATTCTTTCCATTACCAAAAAAATGCCTAAGGTTAGGCTCTATTTTTAGAGCAAAAGCGAGGGACAGGCTCTTTAAGTAAGATGTGCGAAAAAACCCTCAGAGGTCTCACTTCTGAAAAATGTTTTTATTTCACATTTCGGTCGATGTTTTTTGTCTTTTCCCATTGTTGTTCGCGCGAAGCACGCACGCGATATGTTAATGTCATATCGAAAACCGCGGACCTAAACCTATACCTTAATATTATCGATCAACTTCTGCTCGCTGTGATCGACTTCAAACCTAAGTTGTACTCTGCTTTCTTTTATACGTAGTGTGCCACGAAGAAGATAATTGTATAACATTATGTTTAGGGATAGTTTAATTACTGTGCCAGTACACGGGATGTTCGACTATCATACAGATACACGTACAACGGTGACTATGCTAGAGTGTGCCGCGTTCGAGTTCGGTTATGAAGGCATTTATGGGGTGCCCTGTGATTAGTTATGGTGCGTACGCGTGTGCACGCTAAGGGACCGCAAGCCAGAAGTGTCCTCCCGATTTTCCACGCTTCCGAGAAAAAGAAAAGAGCTTTACATTGTAAACCCGTTAGTCCGCCTGCCCTATTGGCCTAAAGACGCTGTCAGGACAGGCAGCAGATCTACCTTCGTTCATGTGCTGTCGGTCTGCTGATCATCGCAAAGTTTCTTCACATGAAAGCCCAATTGTATCTACAGCTATATATATATATATATATATATATAGATATATAGCGTCGGCAGGCTTCTTTACTGTATAAAATATTTCCCCATGATCGAGATATTCGACCAGAGTGTCACAAAACGTTTGTGAGTTTTATTATTGGTGATCATGCCACACGATGGACAAAAGCTCGATAAAAATATATGGATGACTTGGAGCACCTATTGACGCTTACGGGTCAGAGTATAGTTCATATGTTGTAAGGTAAGCGGACATTTTCATCACATCACCTCTACGAGAACAACCGAAAGCAGTTGAATAATAATAAAATAATTATCAATATCTATCTGTTCGATAGTAGCTATGGTAGAACTAACTATGTCGCCAGCTTATTGCATATGGTATAAGATAGAAACGACCCATTTTGGATCAAGCGTGTTATATATTACGGGTAGTCCTGTACCACAGCCGACCATCTGCTTGCCCCTTGAAAGCAATAAAATTTTTCGCATTATTCGCATGACCATAGTAAAACAGTTAGATGTATAAATATTTATAGTGGTGGTGTTGTTGGAATCTCGCGTTCGAAGTGAGCCTATATTTATAGGTGGCCTTACGAATGCTATCGTTCGGCGTCAGATTCCAGCAAGAGTAATTTAAGCTGGCGAGCGTTGCGTAAGCGGCAATCGTCTGCCATCCCCGCCGGCCTATCTAATGGCTGACTCAGTAGCAGGGTGACTGGTGCGAGCATTATAAAAACATGTATAACGATAGGCAGACAAACAATTAGGCAGATGAGAGATGGCTATATTAGTTGTACATGCCGGCCACGCGTGGCCTAATAACCTTGAATAATGGTGACCTTATACGAACATTAATGATTACACTCTTTCATCCTATATGCATCGAGAAGCGAGCAAATCGTGCATCTTCCTACCATTATTTGTTACGAATATAGCAGAGAGTGACACCGCGCGAAAGTAAATTAGGAATGAATCTACCTTCAATTATGTATACCTGAATTCATTTACAAGGACGTAAACTTTTCACCATCAAAACGACCGCGGCATAAATTGCACAATGTCTATCGCCTTAAATTTCAAGAATCAGATCAATGTGTGTCTATCAATTTACTACAGCTTTAATTCAGTACATTTCATTCTATATATTTGTGCAGCATGGCTGATTCATTGCTCGGATGGCCGTCCAAAGCTCGACGGACGATGAATAATGAAGGTGACCTAAAACTGGTCCGTTTTAGTCATGTCCATATTTAACATTTTTGCCTAGTAAAAACGAGGCTAATAACCTCAACGAAGCTGATCCACCAAACGGTTTCTACATTACATCGATTACCATTGAAATTATACAAGAATCATGTGTAAATTATGTAGAAAAGCTAATATTTCGACCGCTTAGACCTAGTCGTGCATTTTTACCCTCTACCACGGTGAGCAATGGTTATAGATAGAGTTGAATTTTATTTATGGTACCAAGAACTACGTTTGAGAATTATATTGAGCTGTACAGGCATTTCTGATGCAATTTGTTATATTGATGGTTCAGTTGGGCAGGATTTCGTTGACCCAGTTTATTTCGATCAGCGGCAAAACAAAGGCTAGCAAACAATGCATATTGCATACATAGACGTATCTACGGTAAGACGCAGTCGTGTTACTCTATGTAAACGTTGAAACTGTTCACGGCTGACTCTGAGCAAGAGCTATCGGCGTATAACATCCGCAGTGGCTGCAAGGTCATCTATGATTTCGCAGCCATTACGAATATGCACGTCAAATATTGCCACCGGACCGAGTTGGGACTTCAAATAAAAGCAGAGGAGGCCATATAGTGTGCGCCGTATTTGGAGCACCACGGTCAGCGTACAGAGGTAAACGGACGACGACTAAAAAATAAACCAGCCAACTTTGCCGTCGTTCGAGTAACAGCAGCGGCGACCGCAATATCAGCGTCGAGTCACCACGAAAGTTTAGCAGACAACTGAATCGAGCAGTCAAACCCACGCATTAAAATAGCCGTCGCGAGTGTTTGAGCTACTAAACCATTAGCACAACCCACAGGTAGTGCCGATAAGACGATGACGTCTTCTAAAACGTCGTGGTAAAAACGCAGTGCTTTATCAAGTCGAATTTACGTAGGCAATCCAGCAAATTACTCGTTCTACGGAAGTTCATGTGCCGGCAGCTCCTATAGCTGCTATAGTATCTATGGGGTAGTTTCGGCGTGTCGTCAATTACGTACGACGTTTTTATCATAGCGTTTGATTAGTGTTAGCGTGTGGCAGCTCCGTCCAACGGAACTGAGCAAACGATAACCGAGTTGCACTACTTATTTATGTGGGAGTACGGAAACGCCAAACCCATTCCTCTAACAACAAGTTTTAACTTAATTCTTGCCGTGATGCGTACAAAGGTTTCAGCCGTAGATGCGAAAAACAGAAACGGCCCACACTGTGTCGAGAGAACCTATTAGTAGGGTGTCTATATTTAAAAATTTTAGTTTTATCAAGAAAAAAAAAAAGTTTTTCTATGGTATTTTCTTGTTTGTGGCAAACGGGTTGAAAATCGGTCCGGTTCGTGCTGTCTGCAAAGGAACGATACCATCGCTTATTTCTACTTACATTTTCAATGGTCATTTGTTATACATTGCAGCTGTACACAGTTAATAATATAATACACGGTTTCTTTTCTCTTCGGGACCAATTCAAAAACATAATAACACCAAAAACTTATAGCTTGTTTTGCTATGCATGTTTAGTTGACCCTTTATAATAATCGTTAACGATATTTGTAACAAACACTGCGTTGTCGTGCGATGTATCTTCCTACGTAGTCATTCACGCATTAGATGAAGCGTTTACGTCACGGCAAATTACCAAAAGTACCAGACACGAACAGCTCATTCGGCGAAACGAATTAAGTTCGTATATATATATATA